AGACTTCACACGGTAAAGTGAGAAGAGTTTCACTGGGAAGCAGAAAAGAAGCATTCACGCTCAGGCGCTTTAAATTTGCATTTTAAAAGCAAACCCCTTCCTGATTTAGAAAACAGAGCTTTCACTCCCAGGAGCATGACTACCCAAGAAGCATGTGTTGGAAAAAGGTTACACAGGGTATATGCAGGAATCCTGAAGTCAAATGGAAAACCTTTGAAGACCTTTTTTAAGACCCTTTCCATACATTTTAAGACCTCATCGCCACTTGGAGTTTTAACCGGTTACCTTGGCGACACACTTTACCTCACATTGACTATAGACAGTATTGATTGTCCTTCCTCCTTATCTTCCAACCATTTGGACGCAGACTTGCATTTCCCCATAACGATGTTGCTTAGCAACCGGCGTAAACGGACCTTCGCGCGCTATCAAGCAGTGAGCGTGCGATGTCATGTTCAGCTGATGTCAAACCCAACGGGATGCCATAAATAAACTACACAGAATCACACTACACACCTACGCAATGATTACATTCAGGCAGACTGTAGAATACAACCTCTTTGGACAATGCATTAGCAGCCTTAATTTTCGCTAAATTGATTTATCAACTTTTAATAGTTTTTAAGACCCCGCGGACACCCTGTAATGGGGCTGAAGGGCATATTTTGTTATCTTTGGATGGTTTTTGTTACCAGTCTTTGTGCTAAGCTAACTGACTAGTATGCTAGCTATAGTATTTACTCTTGCTGGAAAGGAAAGACAACTTAAATGAACTCAGCTTGTTCATGCAGCACTGCGTTAGACCCTGTACGATATCAAAAAAGGCAGATCACAGGTTCAACTAAGCAGAAATATTCAGTTGTGTTTTATGCTATTTGCGTGCAAAAACACCAGTTACTTTAAATGACAAAGGAGAAAAGAAAATCATGCTTATGAGGAATCCTGGACATGCAGAAAGGGAATGAAGTATATTTTCAAAGTTGGGCTAAAGTGCGTGTCATCTGTAGTGAGGTAAACCAGCAGGGATTTTCTTTTTGGAGGGAAATTGTTAGGAAGTCACTGGAATCAAGAAGTATAAAAACACACAACAAATGTATGCATCGAATAAAACCAAAATAATGAACAACAGTGTTATAATGACAACTCTGTATGTTGTGTTATTGGGGAAAGTCTCACTCATGCAAAACACAAAAAGGTTAGTCAGAGTGACGACAGAGTGGAGGAATGAGGAGTCAATGTTCAAGTCGAGTTACTCTGAATGAAGAGGAAAGATAATAGAGGGAGTAGAAACACAGAATGCTGGGGGAATAAAGAAACGACGCCATTACTATTGAGTCATCAACGTTCCCGTTCTCTGCATTAGTCTCCTCAGCGTGGGTCCCGTTCTGCACAATGCCGGCCTGATTTGCTTCCTGTGTTAATAAAACAGTCACGTTTAACATGTGTGCGTCATACAGAAGGAGGGCTTGAAATTACAGTTTAGATCCCGAGCCGATATTTGTTCAACTCCCATTAGAGTGGTGCAGGAATGAGTCTTAATACCCGGAGATGACTTGGCATTTTCCCACTTTTGGTTCCCTCGCCTGGAAGCAATGGTTTTCTAAATGTGTGTTTGGTTGTTAGCTTAAAATAAGGTATTTGGGTATAACACAACCAGAAGAGATTTTAATAGTTTGTCCTACAACATGGAATATGTCAGTAAATAGTAAATACCCCATTGGTGGTTTTTTAAAAACACAGGTTGCTAACAAGTGACTAAATGAGACGACTAAACCTCATCACATCCAACATTAGCCGCTTTTAGCTTAGCGGTGGTGAAGTGAAGTCATGTGACCGTGCTGTAGTTCCTTTATAGTCTAATGTTAGCTTTTACTTTTAAAAAAAATCTTAAAGTGGTGTTAATTTGTGGAGATTAACGTGCTGAACAAAACGTATAAGTATCATAAACGATTGTTTGTCACAGAGATTATTGTGATCCAAAATCCAATGGAAATATCCCAATGGCTTTCTATTGAGGGAACCAGGGAGATGCCAAGTGTCGGGTCGGACTACAGAAATGTGTCATCGCTGCACCACTCTATATTGTCACATTTAAATTGTTTATTTGAACTAAAAGGCTCCGTCTAGTATCGATTTCAACGTCTTAAAGGTTACAAAAGAGAGCATGATGATATGAGTAAAGCGGATTTGGGGAGAGCCCATTCATTGAACCATTTCAGAAGCCCAGTCATGTCTATGGGCATGTCTGTTATCTTTTTTTTATATTTTAAGCCCATTGCAGGGAGTTAAAGTTGCTTAATACTCTGATGATTGCTTGAACAATTAATTATTTTGATGGCACAGTTTTATTGATTTTATTGAATTTTGGCCAAAGTATTTAAACTCCTAAAGACGTATATTTACAAACTGACTCGCATGCACAGACGTTTTTCAGGAAGCCATTCCAGAATCGAGATTAACCGGCAAAATGTCAATGTATTAGCTCTTTGATTAACGACATAATATACAGTTGATGCTGTCCCAATATCGTAGATTCACAGCTTGGCTTGGAGGGGAAGGAAATACAATTATTTTGGTTACAAGTCAGTTTAGTTTTGTCCACAGTAGAAAACAGAAAACATTTCCAACCTTTGAGCCGGGGGGAGGAGGCAGCCCTAGGAAGGCAAACACAGCGTTGTCTTCCTTGGCATCGAAGAACGTCTCATAGTCCTGCAAGAAAAAAAGTGACATCATTATGTAACGCTCACGCTTCTATTGGCTAGTGCTACAACACATTGTACATGACAGGGGCGAGACATCTCTAAGCTGTCGACCAATCACAACAGAGCTGACCGGCTAACCAATCAGGCTCTGGTTTCAGACAGAGGGTGAAAATGAGAAAAATAAAGAGCGTTCTGAACATTAAAGCATGGGAACATGTCACAGTAGAGACACACAACAAATATGGACCTAAAAAAAAAAAGAGCGTAATCGGGCCTATTTAATTTGATCTTTTCTTACGAACTAATCATGTGCACTTGCAGGTTTGTACAGTGGAATGGTGGCATATAATGTAAATTCGGTATTTTAACTAGAAAAGAGTCCTTCGATAATGGCCCTTTACTATTCTCAGGGGTCAAACACTGGTTAATAAAGGTGAGTGTTTGCAGTGAGGGTGTGTACTCACCCCGCAGTATCCCTCCTCATTGAAGATCTGGGGGGGCAGGGGGATGCCGTTGGAGGGCTTCTTCTCCTGCGGGACGTTCTGCCTCATCCACATGCGGTTCTCCTCGCTGCAGGCGATGTCCAGCTGAGCGTACTCCACTTTAAGAGCCTCCAGGAATCCCACCACATCCTGCTGCTTCTTCTTGATCTGGGAGGCAAACACATAAACAACTAAACTTCAAGAAAATGTAAAAGATGCACAGAAAGAAAAATACTAAAGTAGTTATCTTTTAAAAATGAGAAAATTGGGATCTTCTTATGTTTCTTGTGAGCATCGTTAAAATATGACGCTTCCCATGGTCCCCTGTCCCACCGAACATAAACAAGGCCTCAAACAATTAGTGTATTAACCAAAAAGGAATTACTTATATGATTGATAAGTCGTGAAAGTAGTTGATCAAGCATATCTGCCAAGTACATCACTGCAGATTGGACATTTTGTAGGAAATAAAAATAAAGACGTAAATTTGGACTCTTATATATAAATAATGATTGTCTGTTTTTCTCTATTTTTTTGCCATATTAGTCTTAAATTTAAAATGCGAAAACGATCAGATTCCTCAATAATAACCACTTATTTCTTGTGCAACTTCTTGTTTACATGCTGCTGTGATGAAAACATGTCCTCACAGCGCCTCACACTCAGGGACCTCCCACTGCTTTTGGACATATTTATTACATCTGTTTTAATATTAAATACAACTAGTGGTGCAGGGTACGCAGTACATTTACGCAGGTACCTGTACTTTCTTAAGTATTTAATGCTACTTTTGACTTTTACTCCACTACATTTATTGAAAAGCTTCAGCGACTTTTCAGATGTTGCATTCAAATTCACTTGATAAACTTTGAAAAATGCTGAATGATGCTGATACTTGTGTACATTACTCAAGTGACATTTTAAATTAAACGTTTACTTGTAACAAAGTACTTTTACAATAACGTATTGCTACTTTTACTTAAGTAAGACATCTAAGAACTTCTTCCACCTCTGATAACAACTTTATGTAACGTTTACAAGGCTAAACCCTGCACCTTAACAGTAAATATATTAATGTCATATTTTAAAAAGAAATATCTGTTCTTTGCCTCACACTTGCAACAACTGTTATCAATGTGAATATACTGCAACCTCATGAAACTTGTTTTTATTTATTTCACATAAATACTGTCAGTCCAGCACAACCTTCCGAATATTTTACACATGTGTATACAAAGCTACCCCTCTTAATATCTGCACAGCTTTCCACTTTCTCGTAACAATAATGCACATTTTATTTTATTTCTCTGAGTGTTTTGTTATATTATACTTATCTATATTTCATGTAAAGGTTTATCTATATTTTTATTTTACAATAGTTTGTTTTTATTTCAATGTATCTTCTTTAACTGTGTTCATGTATGCACCATATACACAAAGGAATTCCTCTTATGTGTGAACCTACTTGGCAATAAACCTGATTCTGATGTGCAATGACAATAAAGTTTATAATCTAATCAAATGAGGACCTTGCATCTGTGCCAGGATACTCTGCATGGAAGACAGCCAAAATTAGGACATGCTAAACAAAATCGACTCAGAGGATAACACCCAGCTCAATCAGCTGTAAGACAACACTGCGAGCTAACTGGGCCACCATGGCACCCCTGCTTCAAACTGCTTATTTAGCTTTGCCAAAAGTAGATCAAGAAGTTAAATTCACCCCCTCCCTGCATGCTGTGTTCATCACACATACCTCTTTTAAAACACTTTCTCCAAAGTAAATGAGTTGCCAAATAGTGTGAAAAGGTTCTTTCTGAACTGGGTAAATTCCCACGCAACACCGGGTGGTGGCGTGAAGCGTTTCTATATCGGGGGACGTGAAGGGAGTTCTCGAAAGCTCCACATGTGAATCACATCGACTCGCTAATTACAATCCACAATTAAAACACTGCCAAGGGGAAACTCACCATCGTAAACATCAAAATTACGCATGCAAAATCAAAGGCATTCATTTCAAGGTTTCGCGCATTTAAAGGAAAGTCCTGATCGGTTTACACACAGGAAAGTTAATTTAAATGAGAAATGTGTCGTGTTGCAGGACTACTCACCGCAGTGGATCCCGACGAAGAGGCGAGGAAAACTTTGATAACCATCTTTGTTCAAATGTAGTTTGTGGAGTCGGGCTATATGCAACAAGTAGGCTCTTAAAGGAGCAGACGGGCCTCTATTATTAGAGCTCACCCAGGACACAGTACTAAGACACACACACCACACAAACACATACACTGCTGGGGGGCTATTTTGGTCTGCAGGCTCCATTAGTGCGGGATTGGCGGCCCCTAGGGGCGCAGCAGCACACACCGATTGGGCTGTGCAGCTGTCTGTCGGGGCAGGGCACGGAGGTTTTATTAGCTCCGGGCTCAGTGCATATATGGACAGAAATAGACCACTGACCAGCACTATAGGCTGTCAGGCTTTGGTTTCCTAACGCAGAACAGGACAGTTGAGTGGGAAAAACACTGCGTTAGCCTGCGTGGAATACTTTCTTTTATTTGCAAATTGTACACAACAAGAGCACCCATTTTTGTTAGACTAGTTGACGTATTTACTAAACATTTGTGACCTCTGTGTAAGGTCTTCACCTTCAAAAATCACTGGGGCTGCTTAGATTGGCTTTGGTCTGCCTGTATTAAACAGTGTGTTACGTCTCAATAAAGGGTCTAGGGGGAAATGGAGACACTAACACAACAACCTATACAATGAGAGACAGAATAAAAGTAAACTAGTGTTTTTATTCTTTATTAATAAAAAATGCCAACAAAGGTTCTTTAAGTGAGGGGGAAGAGGAGACAAAAGAAGATTATGCCAAATTAAAGACATAAATACAACAAAACAAGGCCTATCTTAATGTATCCTTTGAAACAAAACAAATAAAAAGCTCTCACTATCTGATCTACTACTGTATGTTAAGAAAACCAATACAGGGGTGGCAACAATCTAATGACCTAGTCTGTCTAAATGTAATTGATGTGGTGAAATGCAGGTACCCAAAGATTACCTAAATCTCCAACCTGCTACCACATACACATTTAACAATAATCACAAACTGTAATAAAATTCACTAAGGAATTACCAAACCAACCAAGATTCACAGAAGAATCAACAAATATAAGAAAGTTAAGAGCGGCTCTGGAGTCAGCAGCAGGCCCAGGTCTGAGAAGGAGAAGACTTCCTGGATTGCTTCCTTTATGAGTGGATCTGGCTGTTGATAGGCTAGCTGAGGGTGAGGGGATCCAATCAGCAGTCAGTGTGAGGTGCACCAGAAGCAGCGCCATATAGATAGATCTATACGGCGCTGACCAGAAGGTACTGATCAACTGTTGATTACCTGGAGTGAAGGAAGGTGGAGAAGAGAAAATATATAAAGACATGGTATTAACCACTATGATAGCATAGTTGTTCATATTTATAAAGTGTAATACTTATTATGAATTTTTTTTTAACAAAATAAAAGTATCCTCTACTTATTCTGTGAGGACAAAACACATGAAATACATCTAGTAGCCAATGTAGACGGGAATGTGACGTCATAAACGTAAAGTCGACCATCTTTGGAGGACAGAGACCACAAGTCTATTAACTTAACCTGTAGGCTACAGTTAGCGGAGTAGCTGCAACTTTTTCACTTTAAATGTTTTAATCATGGCCAGAAGGCACTGCTTTGACGCTGGCTTTAACAGCCAATCCAATGACCAAAAAAAGAAAAAAAGAAAAAAGGACCACAGGATTACATCTAATTATTTTAAACTAATAGGGAAACGAGGGAGACGTAGCAAACATTACCAATAGATGCTGAATGTGTTGGATGTCAGCCGTCTGACTGTTTACTGCGGAACTACAGTAACACAAACTAAAACAGGAAATATTGCAGTATATTTACATATACTGGGAGATTACTTGTGCATGATACAACAACGTTTTGTTAGCACTCAGTTAGCATAGCATTAGCTTTCTTTCCTCTCTCCGGATGCCTCTAGAGTCTACAGTTGTCATTAAACCTGTAGATCTGAAGGTGCTAAATCCCCCATTTGTAACCTTCACTTGGGCCTCCTAATATTTAATATGTTTTAATACATTTAATTGGCAGACAGGTGTAGACATAACTCCAAACACCTGAGAGGACTGACATCAGTAACAGTGATAAGTCCGCTCTTTTTCTTAAAGAAAAGTATGCATTGTTCATATGGAAAGATTAACATTAATATGTGATGCCTTTTCTACTAGTCTACAAGTCTACTCTTTTTATTTTTGCACTGCACCTTTGCGGCTGTAAAACCTGTAAATGTCCCAGTTGTGGGACAAAGAAAGGATTTCTGATTCTGTTGGAATATTATTAAATTAGTGGAAGAATCACGGCAATAATGATCCTTCATTAAGAAAATAAAAATGCGATAATAATAATGATAATCCCAACGGCACGCCCACGGGACCCTGACCAGGCGTCGCTCCTGGACGCTTAGGGAGTGAGAGTGTGTTGTGCTGGTTTATAAAGCACTGAATGGTTTAGGCCCAAAATACATTTCTGACCTACTGCTAAATTATGAACCATCCAGATCTCTCAGGTCTTCCGGGACGGGTCAGCTTTCTGTCCCAAGAGTCAGAACTAAACATGGAGAAGCAGCGTTCAGTTATTATGCTCCAAATATCTGGAACAAACTCCCAGAAACCTGCAGGTCCGCTGCAACTCTGACTACTTTTAAATCCAGGCTGAAGACTTTTCTTTTTGCCGCTGCTTTTAATTGAAACTGAGTGGTTGTGTTTCGTTTTTGGTCTATGAACATTTGGGGCTAGTAACCCCAGGGAATCAGTGTCTGGGGACTTTGTCCTGGCTGGTTTTCTCTGTGTATGCTGCTCGGGACGTATGTGCCATACAATTGTACACAGCTCATGTTCGGAGAAACCTTAAAGAAAGGCATCAGTAAAATGGAACTTCTGTGTGAACT